CTGTGATAAGTGTAGTGGCGGCTGGAGAGGATGATTTCTTTATTAAGTTCTTCGGGTCATTTGTGCGAGGAAAGGTGCAATCGAAACTGCTCCTCCAAACTGTTCCAAAAAGGAATAAATTCCGGAACATAATTATCATTTGGGAAAAATCACCAGGGCTGAAAGTATTTTAGACGAACGGCTTGATTTAATTTATATGCGGTTTATTATATTGATTAACCTCTCTCTCTCTCTCTCTCTCTCTCTCTCTCTCTCTCTCTCTCTCTGGAATAGGGTGGGGATCATGTATTGTAAATATTTAAGTTTTCTCTGAAATTGTTTAATTACCGATCATAAAATCGTAGAATAAAACTTTTGAAACAGAGAAAAAAACCTACAAACAAACAATTAAATCTGAACTGTGTAACTTTTTTAAAGGGGATTGGGGGGAGGGGGGGGCATAAAAGCCTCTAGTATTAGATGAATCTGAGTTTTCCGCCGATATTTTATAACTACACATCATAAAAAAGCACAATAAAATGTAACCAACAAGAAAAAAAAAATAGAAATAAGCTTAAAAAAAGATATAAAAAAAAACAAAAATTAAGAAAGACACAAAACAAAATAATATCTCTCGTCTGGTCTCTCTTTTTTTTTAGGGGGGGGGGGGGGGTATTGTTAATATATAAACCTGGATTTTCTTCTGAAATGCTAAAATCATCGATCATAAAAATATCAAGGTAATTTAAAAAAAAACTACATTTGTAATGCCATCTGTATTTTTGGTATGCAGTTTTCACACCACAAGCATGGAAATGTTAAAAAAAAATAAACGGCACTGCTAAAAGCAACTAAATAAGGAGTAGAATTCCTGCTCTAGAGATATATCATACAAACTATCTTTAATTTTATGTGTTTAAATCAAGATTAAAACCTTTTGCACTACCCGGACCTTTAAACGTAGGCAGATCTTTTCTTATACGGGCCGGACCTTTTCTTATAAAAGGCGGACCATATATGTTATCGTATTAGCCATCCCCCCCCCCCCCTCCCCCGACCTTTAAACGAGGCGGACCAAATATCATGCGACACCGGTCGGCAGGGGGTGATTACTCCTCCATGGCACTGTGAACTTGAGTGTTTTTAACGTCCGTGTTTGCCCTGCTCACGATTTGTACGGATTTAACATAGGCACTAGGCACTCCCCAGCTTAATTGTTAAAAAATATATATCTATTATACTACAAACATGTTATGTTTATAGTATGGGTTTCAATGGACTTTTGAGGCTTATTACTGTTCGTTATCTCCATATTTGATTTAAAATCTAAAACATTCAAGTACCTGTGAAGACAAGAATCCTATTCAGAGATGAGAACGGTGTTAATTATTGAATAAAAGGCACAAAAGGGAGTATTTTGCATTCTTTTTTGAAAATGTCCCCGATTAGATACAATGAATCAAGTACTGGTGTGTGAATATTAATGAGTGTGAAATAGGTCCCCGTTTGTGCTGTAAAAAGTGCTTGGCTTAAAATTAAAGATATTGACATATTCTGATTATATTCGCCATCAGAGTTATAGGAGGACAAATATTTTTGGTCAAAAGTCAATGAAATAATAAAAATAAAGAAGTCCCCACTTTGACAGTCTTTAACCCCTGTCCCCGTTTGACACCTTTCACATGTATGTGTGTGTGTGTGTGTGTGTGTGTGTGTGTGTGTGTGAGGGTGTGTGTGTGTGGAGATGAGAAACGCGGGGTAGGGGTTACTTGATCATTGTTTTTTTTATGGGCATGCAGAAACAATCCATTTTATTATTGGAGAGAGAGAGAATTTTATTTTTACTGGTCTGCAATGCACATGATTTGTAAAACAGTGTGATATCTTAATTGTCAAGAAACTCCCTTTCCGCTATATTTACACATGCCAGTAAAAATAAATAGATTTCTTTTCTAAATTTCGTGCATGAAAAAGCAAAAGCAAACTGATGCACTGATCAATGAAATAACCCCCCCCCCCCCACACACACACACACACACACACGTGTGTACGCACGTTTCTAATTTGCAACACCTGTGATTTGAATATCAACTGATTTTTTTAAATGGTTAATGATATCAATATATGATGAAGTCAGATCTATTGTAAGAATAAGCATATGTTTTTTTTTCCTTTTGTTTTATTTTCCTTCCGTTAACTATTCAATCAGCTGTAGAAAATAACGGCAGCTAAAATACGATCACGTTACATACCTTTCCCAATGAGACTAGAAAATGGAAAATGGGAATTTCCATTCTTAAGTTATTTCTATTTTTAGGTCCACACTCAGATAAGTTTACATGAAAATGGGAGTGGATCAAATATTTTAGTATTGTTACATGTATAATATTTGCAGACAATTTGACACCAGAAAGCGGAGTTGGGAGGAAATAAAGAAAAAATATTATAACATCAAAACTAGAAGTAAAGACTGTTATCTTTCTATACTTTTTAGCAGAGAAATAATTATTATTAGTAATTTTTTTATAATTGTAAAGAGAAAGAAAAATGACAATTAAAAAATACAGTAACTTCAAGCAAATACACAATAAAAAATATGTATATTTATCTCATCCAATGTTCCTTACAAAAAATTGATGACATCTTCACCTTTGTACATGTGTGTAGAATTTTTTTCAATGAATTACAGGCAAGGAGAAGTTGGACGGCCTAAAGAGGCCTAAAACTGGAGGAGGGCCTCCTCTACCCCCACTGACTCAAGGGGAGGAAATACTCCTTAAATTGTTTGAAAAGGAACCCAACCTCCATGGCCTCGAAGGAGGGATGGATACTGATGGTATAGTTTGTGGTGTATTATATATACTATTATTTATGTTCCTTGTAATTACAGCTCTAATTCATCAAGTAAATTTTGATAAATATTTCTAATTATGAATAATTTTATCTATATATTCAATTGCCAAAGCTAGATTTAGACACTAATTATAAGGACTGGTACCATATATGATTTAAATTTGTTTGTTTCTTCAATTATGGTAAGATTTTTTTATAATCAGTATTTTTGTTACTTTTCCAGCTCCAACAGTCAGTGCCATCACAGTCCCTGAAAATGCCCAGGAAGAAAATGCAGGGATAAATGCACAAGGTAATGATTTGTCCTTAATTATGTAAATATTATGTATATGGACTGAAAAATTAGGACAAAAAATTAACATGACAATGCAAACTGATGTTGATTATTAGTTCAGTGAATGTTTATCTGTCAAATTCTTAATCACTCATAAGAAGACAGAAATAAACAAAATCCTCCTATGCAGTTCAAGCTTCAATTCTCAAAACAAGGATTCATTTGACAAATAATTTTGCAGATTTAGATTCTTCATCTAACATCCAATTGCAAGAAAGACAAGATGCAGAAAAATCATCTGCTAGACATAAAAGAAAGGAAAAGAAAGGTTTGTCAGCAAAATGTAGCCCTTCTCTCTCTCTCTCTCTCTCTCTCTCTCTCTCATATCAAATAAAAAAGAAAAAAAATGTTAAATTACATAGATTATTTTTAATATTTGATTATAATATGTATTAAAAATAAATGTAGTTCAATAAAGAGAGTCCAATATGTATTTCAGTATGATATAGCATTTTTTTTTATTTTAGAAAATCTAAATTGTATAACTTCTTTTCAATCTGCTAATAATTATCCAAAGCTTTAAAACACAAATTGAAATAGCACAAAGCAGTATTCAAGTGAATTTTTTCAGCAATGGAACACTTATCTATTGAATCATTTCTAAATGATCAACAAAGAAGATGAAAAAAATGTTAATGTACATGTAATATGTAAAGCCAATTGAACAAAAACAAAGGATTAAAAAAAAACACTTTAGTTTTAGATTTAATGCATTTGTAATTTAATCAAACAGGTGAACCCAATAGAAGAAAACTGGCAGAGTTGGAAGAAAGAAATTTGAGGCTAGACAATGAAAGATTAGAGGAGGAGATCCTAAAGGTGAAACAAGAGAGGGAAGTCCTGAACATCCAGAAGGAGGTCCTCACCCTGAAGAAGCAGAGGCTTCTGTTAGACATTCAAACAACATATCCTGAAATGTTGGTCCATATTTCATCAGAACTTTAAATATGCTTTTATTTCACCTTTAACTCATATGAACCAAAAGTTTAAACAAACTTTTCTGATCACTGTTGTCCATCGTCTGTCTAGCTTTTTGTCCTTCTGTCTGTCCTTAGGGTGTTGTCATGGTTACTAAAATAGAAATTTATATGAATTTTTTTTTCAAATTGATATTCTTCTTACAGTTTAATTCTGATTTCAATAAGACTTTGTACACAAGTAGACTATGCTGTCCAGTAGAGCTACAGTCTTATCAGACTTCTGGTTTTAATATATCAAGTAATGCAGACTCAAGTTGGTTTGGATCTTAGCATAGGCCAATGTGAATCATGTGAGCATTGTGGCTCATGGACCTTTTTTATTCTTAAACCTTTTGAAATAAAATACATTGAGAGAGAGAGAGAGAGAGAGAGAGCAAAACTGGACCTCTTTTCATGAAAAATTACGTTAATAAATTTAAATAAATGAACATTTTCTCTGACTTGGCTTAATTGTATACGTTCCTAGAAAATCTCATTTAAACTGTGGACATTAGATCTACAGTTTGCATTAATATTTCTTTTAGAAAAATCCTTGTGTAATTGCTGCTCTCTTTAATACTCCATCATTGCGGACTTGTCCAGGTTCCTGTATATTTTGCTGGATGCAGGCGGCAACATCAATGTTTGTTAAATTCTGCTGCACACAGATATCTCCTCTGTCGATTCCCAGATTAAGGAGTATCACACAGGCTGTAATAAACTGTACAGCTTGGTCTGGGGATACCCTGAACCCGATTTGGAGAGCTTGGAATCTCCTCTTCATGATGCCAAAGGTCTGCTCAATCAAGACACGGGTCTGACATAGACTGGCATTATACCTCTCCTCAGACCGTGTCGCCGGTGCTAACTATGAATAGGGTGTCATGAGGTATCTTATAAGGGGGTACCCAGAATCTCCAAGCAGAATCCCATCATGTAACCCTGAATATTAAAAGAGGGTATAAATGCATGCTTAAGTCAAGCTAGAACATAATCAATGCAATTCAGGAAAAGGATACATATAGAGAAACATATCACATATAGTTACATTATATAATTTAAAGAAGTACCATTTTCAAAATGTTGGCAAAGGTGTGAATTTCTCCAAATTCTCGAATCGTGACATGATCCAGGCCACCTGGCACAAAGTGAGGTCACCTTGAAAGTGGGACTACATACCATCTAAAGAAATACATATGTTTTTTAAACATATACTTTAAAATGTATAATATGTTAATAATTATTTATCATTCCAATTTCCTTTTTATGATGAATTTTTGAAACATAGCTGTAGCTGACATCCCTTATTACATTTAAAAGGTCTCTTGTACTATTCATAATGCCAATGAAAGTGAGCTTCTACAATGAAATATTATGGTCAAACCAACTTAATATATGTTCTACTATATAAAAAATCAGAAGTAAAATCCTTTTAAATATGTTTTTTTTAAATACCTGAACATTGAGGCTATGGAATCCCTTCCTGTTCACATAATCAGGTTCATTCAGTGAAGGAGCTTGAATTCTTATCTGGGTTCCGTCAATACAACCCACAACTTTGGGAAAACCTGTCAATGAAATCATTATTGTTTCAGCTTTAATTATATGAGGGCATTAAAGGTTTGAAGGTTGTATTTCTAAATATTGGAAAAAAAATTACACGTATACTTATTTCTAGCAAGAACAACCCAAAACATCTCTGTATTTTTTTAAACAATACCTTAAACTCATTTGAAATTCAGATATCAAAGTAATTTAATTAATAAAAAATATTTATTTCAATTTTTGTTCTCATTTTTTTTTAAATTGCCATTATTGATGATTTTCTTACAAAAAATAACCAGCCAACAATCATTTAACTTGCTTTTTTTCTAAGGCCAAACAAATAAATATGTGTGGTTCCGGTTACACCTCCAAAAAACTAAGAGTAGGTAAGTAGGGATTTTTTTTTAACAAAATGATTTTCTTAATTATTCTAAATAATACTTATCACTACTTTGCAAATGACATTTAGATGTGGTGTGATAAAATACTAGTCAGTATTGGTAGGGGACACCTACATGCTAGCTTGCTTTCGATTTAACACTAATAAACACTTGCACTATGTCGTGCAAGGAGGCCGTCATTGCTGAAACTAAAACTTAAACCGGAGCCATTGATGGAAATTGGGGAAAATTCCGGAAAAAATATGAAAATTGTCAAAAAAAAAGTTTAGGGTCGAGGGGTATAAAATAGGGACGGTCGGGTAACCGGAACCACACGTATTTTTTTATTTGGCCTAACATAGCAGTAAAAACATAAAGAGGATATGAAAATGGAAATAAGAAAGACAATAATTATTTGAAAAAAAGTGATAGAGAAAGGAAATAAATACTGTAGATTCCTAAATATACGCGAGAAATAAATTATCGCGTAATTACGCGAGAAGCACCACTCGCGAAATAAAATTACTCGCTTTTATTTTTATGGTGCTTTAATGTATGTAAAACCTCTAGATAAATCACCCATTCGCGAATTATTATTCTCGCGATTTGACGCCCTTGGGCCATTTCGCGATATTAAGTACTCGCGTAAAATAAGGAATCTACAGTAAACAATAGTAATTCTTTCAAATGTGCTACAAGAATTTAAATTAGTATGCATTTTGCACTAAGTATTGTTTATATACTCAGCTTTAAAATCATTACATTTTATTGTCAATGTTTACAAATAACAAACAGAACAGCTTTGCTTTGAAAGTTTGTGTTGGATCCACCACCTAATTACACTATTGCACTAAATACAGTTGTGGCCCGTAGTGGAACTCTTCCTATCTTCCGTAAATGTCGACGGAAAAAATGCAATTTATTGTAAGGGGATTTTTCATAAATTTACAGAAAAGTAAATATTCTCTCGAGTGTATTTATTGACTTAATTGTTGTTTTGAATAAGCTTTCAGTCATGTAGTGTATTTAAAGATTTGCACATATCTCACTAAAAGCAAAGAACGATTTTTGCAGTGGGTTTTTTTTCTTCTCCAAATTATAGGTCTTACCCGCAATTCTTCTGAATCCTTCCTTGACTTTGGTCGCTATTTCACCGACGGGAAATTTTATCAGATTGATAAAAACTTCAATGATGGCCCTTGCTACCGCTTTAACAGCCCTTCCAGTCGTACATTCTGAAACGTTAAGACTGTCTCCAATAAGTCTTAAGTGTGCCCCTGTAGCCGGGAAACGGAGAAACAGTAGAACCTGGATCAGTGGAGGAATGGGTCGGTTCCTGGCAGTATCTGCTTGAAGATTGTCACTGACACCATTTACAATATAAAGTATGCTACCCGGAGAAAAACGATATCTCTGGAAAATCTCTTCCTCCTCTAGACTCTCCAAAGGATTGCTTAGGTCACGAAATACTCGTGATCGCCTCAAAACAAGCAGATTCTGTCTCCTTCGATGTCGACGTTGGATCATGGCAGCCATTTTTAATGCTTGAGAATGTACTTAAGTTTGCTTTATAGTAAACTCAAATATTTAAGAATAAAATGATTCTGAGAATTTTTTTGTTACTCAAATTTTTTATGGCGGTGGCTGAGTCTGAGAATTTAGGAGTTGAGAAAATTCTCAGACTTGAGAAGATTCTCAGACTTAAGTATGTTTTATGACGGCGGACCCTGGAAATTACACGTGGATGAAGTTATAGGTGAAGCTTATAGTCGCCTGACAATGATGCGTAGAGTTAAATTTATACTGGATAGGAAAACGTTACAAAATATCTATTTTTCGTTTGTGAGACCTATACTTGAATACGTCGATATCGTTTGGCATAATATACCAGACTATTTAGTAGATAAACTTGAAGGTGTTCAACATGAAGCTGCTAGAATAGTTACGGGAGGGAATAGAATGGCAGCCAGGTACTTGTTATACAAAGAGACGGGATGGGTAACCCTATCAAAAAGAAGAGAAAATCATCGTTTAATTCAATTCCATAAAATATATCATAAAAAGTCCCCTGATTACTTAGTAAATATTGTCTCCGAGTATGGCAATCATAGACATAGTTACAACACTAGACAAGAAAACTCACTACAAGAAATCCAAACTACAACCCAACTATACTATAATTCCTTCTTTCCCAGGACAATACGTATTTGGAATAAATTACCTTTGGTGATTCAAAATAATCCATCCCTTTCAAGTCTTAAATTATACTTAAATTCTAATTTATCTAGAATACCCAATTATTTCTTTGTTGGGAGTAGGCTTGGTCAGATTTTACATACGAAACTCAGACTGGAATGCAGTTCTTTGAATTTACATATGTTTCGTAGAAATCTGTGTATTTCTCCACTATGTTCTTGCGGCGAGATTGAAAGTATCGAACATTTTTTCTTCCATTGTAACAATTTTACAAGAGTACGAAATAGAACTATTCTTTCAATACCTCATCACATAACTGTTGATATATTACTTTATGGTTCACAAAATCTGTCAGAAAGGAAAACCAAAATATTTTTCTTGTTGTCCAAAACCTTCTGATAGAAAGCAAAAGATTTTAAAACAAATCACTTGATATTTTTACCACGAGATATTATTCGGTCTCTTTTTTCAGTTTAAATTTTTATTAGTGATGTGGCTTAATGAGTGAGGTAAATTTTATTTTGTAATGTAAAAATTGGAATTTTTGGAGATTTTCAGCGACTTCAATTCCAGTAAACTGTTCACAATATAAATGTATGAAAGTTTTCCATATGAGTGTACTATTTTAGGTTCCATTCACATACATTTCCTCGCACTTGTTGAATTTGCAGAAAGAGGGATTAATATAAGCCTTATGGCTTGTTTCCCAATTAACTTGTATTTATTACTAGTGTATTGTACCATTGTCAATTTCTTCAATAAAATATTGTTTAAACTAAAATTGATTGGGTATGGCTTTTCAAGGAGGTTTTTGCCTAATCAAATACTAAAAAAGTTTGCACATTTTGATAAATTCATCAAAAATGCTTTGTACTTAAATGATATTAATTGTTCTTGAGAAAATAAATTTAAAAAGTTCCAATTATGGGCCAAACATTTATATCCCCCCTTTTATCAAAACCTAATTTACATCATTAATTAAATTCTGTTATCTCAGACTGGTAATGAATTAAGTAAAGGAAATACCTATAAGAGGCTCATGGGTCACATGGTCACCTGAGCATTTTATGCTCGATTTGACGAATGCATGTACTGTGTAAATTATAGAATTATTTTGGACTTTTTCCTTGGTAAGCCCAATAAGTCTGCATTTAGAGGCAAACACCTAAGTGCGAATATTACTGTCTCCTGACAGCATCTAGTTTTCCTTACATGTGAAAATGGCGCTCCCTGATCGGCAAGAATTAAAAGCACTTTCTCTTCCGTTGCTGATGAAGGCATATCAAAGAATTCTTGGAGGAAATAAAGTAACAACATCAGTAGTGACCTGTTTTAACAATTTTTGGCATAAAATACTCTACGATAGGCCGTTTTAGGTAAACAAGTCCAAAAGTGCATGTGTAGGTCTATGATCTTCGTCTCATTTTTTTCATCGAATTGTGCAGCTTATTGTTAACATGTACGAGCTAGTATTTCAGAAAGGAGTCTAGTTTGAATGTTTTTACATTTATAAGATATCATAGTTAATAGAATAAGTATTAAAATGCCCGACTAAAATGAAATTCTTTATAATTTTATCTTTTTTTAAACGAATGTTTCGCAATTTTAAGAAATTTAAAGATACTGAAAATAATTCATTTGACTGACATGTATTATTTTCATTGTCTTCGGATTTGCACACTGTCAGGGAAGCCATTCTAACACAGAAATCATGCATTTTGGCTATTGTTTCTGAAAATTATATGAAAGTCTATTGATAGCTACAAATATGCGAAGACAAGTCTTGAGTCAAGAGGTTTCATGACACAAGATGAGAACGGGGGGGGGGGGGGGGGGGGCATGATGTAAGACTAGAGGAAAATTCTCTGATGAGAAATTTTGCATAATTTGATCATTCAATATAAAATTTGTTTGTACGTGTATTTGTAGGCTAATTATAAGGTTGAATTTTACTTCTAAAATCACTAAAACTCCCAGATCTCCGGCCTCTGACAAAAAAAAAAAATTCACAGCTCCCCTAACCCAAATTCCAGGATCCGCCACTGGACATATGTATTTTAACAAATTCAACATTCATAATGAATTTTTGAAATAGAATATTAAATTAATTCTTTTTAAAATATTGAATAGTAGAAAAATTATATTGAAAAATATTTCTACAAACTTGATATAGAGCAAAGAGTGGGAAATGTGAATTTTTCGTCTTTTTTGAATAATTGCAATCCTCAAAAGTGATGCGATAAATTAGACTCAGATGTCACAATTATTCAAAACATAGATATGAACCATAAAAAGAGCTATGTTCACTTTATCCATAAAATGGCCCTGTCCACATACCAATAGACTAACCAAGTCCCAATGACAGGCTGTGTGAAGAATATGGGTGTATTTGAGTATCTTCAGCAAAGAATTAAAATATGAGTCCCCTCGATCCAAAAAATAAAACATGGATTACAATCTTCTTCTGAAACAGTTATTTCATAATATAATTAAATATTTGGATCAGAGATTGGGGTCTATGCAAAATTTTGAAAAATAGCTGAAATTGTTGGCCATTTTGAAGATATTTTCAGGATTTGAAGATAATGACACAATTCATGGCGTCAAAATACATAGACTAGCAAGAAAATAACGCCATTTTCAATAGATATGCAGTCACCAAGGGTCCAGTGAAATTTTATGTTCAACTACATTAATTTTCAATTAAAACTGAGCAGTTTTAATTTTTCAGAAATTCACAAGCAAGGCCAAAAAAGGATGCATGTGATCCTTGTTCTGGCATTAAACATATGCATATACACATGAATGTAATTTTCTTGTAGGAGATACATATTTAAAATATCATTTTCACTGACTAATAAACCAAATGCTAAATATATATTAAAATAGGTGTTTTAAATGCGACTAAATCATTGAACATTTTACAGTTTATGAGATAAAATTGAGAAAATCCTCTTTTTTTACATAATGATTTACAGTATCACGAATACTTAACTGCATTTAAATGAAAAAAAAAATGTTTTTTTACACTAAGGTTCATATACAAAAAGAAGAATGTCAACGTCCTCTCCTTTGATTTGGCCGTTTCATTCTTTGTAATTGAGGTCCATGTCTGATTTGGATGTACAACAAAGGGAGATCACTGCAGATTATGAGTAAGAAAACAAATGTAATCAATCCCACTCCAAGAATCATTCCTATTCCCTGTGCAGATGTCCGTTTGTCTGGAGCCGAAATTTTCTGTCGAATGTTTAAAGACAGTTCGGATTTCTTCACTTGTAGATTATTCTTCGTTTCCTCTATTCTTATTGTTAGGACTTAGGACCTTTGATGAAGTTTTGTGTCTTTGTCATCTTGCATGGACACTGACATCCTAACAAATATTACATTATTTGTGCTTATATGATATTGTGCATGATAAGAAATCTTTCAAACAATAAAATCTATACAATTTAGCATCTACTTTCATTTGATATTGTCCCTTATAGTACTCAATGAAACTTTAATTATTTTTATTGTCCCTTTTAGTGAATTTTCAATTTCTCAAATACCTTAGAAAATATGCATTACTTTAATGCATTGATATGATTTTTATGCCCCCGTATCGAAGATTCGGGGGTATATAGTTTTTGCCCTGTCCGTCCGTCTGTCTGTTTGTCCGCAAAAACTTTAACCTTGCCCATAACTTTTGATTGGTTAGAGATATTACTTTCATACACTGTATTTCACATGTGTATTTCTTGTGACAAGACCTTTCTTTGGGTACCTTCATGTTTGACATTTTGATCTTGACCTTGGAGTTTGACCAACTTTTGCATATTTTATGAGACTTTAACCTTGGCCATAACTTTTGAGCAGTTGGTGCTTAGGGTTTCAAACTTTACATGTGTATTTCTTGGGACAAGACCTTCCTTTGGATACCAACAACTTTGACCTTGACATTTGACATTTGACTTTTGAAAAACTTTTGAACGTTTCGAGCTAGGGCTTTCATACTTCACATATGTAATCCTTGTGACAAGGCCTTTGTTTGGATACCAACCACTTTGACCTTGACCTTGGAGTTTGACCTACTTTTGAAAAACTTTAACCTTGGCCATAACTTTAAAAACTTTGGTGCTATGGCTTTCATACTTCACATGTGCATTCCTTGGAACAAGACTTTCCTTTGCATACAAACAATTTTGGCATTGACACTGACCTTGGGGTTGGACCTACTTTTAAAAAACTTTAACCTTGGCCACATCTAGGGTAAAATTTGATGATGTGCACTAGCTGGGATGGAAGTTCCCGGTATTTTCGGGCGTCATTATTAAGTGTAATGTCATTCGGAACTTTAAATGCGAGAGGGAAAAAATCCCAAATTTTCTCTTCATATTACATGGAACGGTAAGTTCTCTGTACAACAAGACTAGCAGATTCTGATGGATGAAGATTAACATTAAACATACGACTTAGACAACCAAATTTCACAATATTTTTATTACAGAGCCTGGAATTTTTATTTAATGCAGAACATTTGTAAAGTCAGAGTTACCGTTATTGCACTTCCGTCCCAGCTAGTGCACATCAACAAAATTTACCCTAGATGTGGGTGATTTAATCGAAATATTTACAAATCGAGGGCACATAAAAATTGAACGGAAATGTGAAAAGGAAGAAGAATGTGTAACAAATTTATTGACGTATGCATACTCCATGTGTTCTTATGTTTTAGGTAAATAATCAGGCGAAGTTTAAGCGACGAGAAAAGAGTTGCAAGCCGTCTCTCTTTTTATGTATCAGTCGAAAACGGTATATTTAAAAACAGCTTATAGAGACAAAAGAGTTACATTATTGATAACATATAGTGCATATTAGAACATAAAAATAGGTAAAAGGTGGCTCGACCCAAGATTTAAAAAGAAACAAGCATTCTGAGAGTATTGCATTAGCAATACTAGTCCCCTACCGACAATTGTAATCTGGTTCCCGTTAAAAATTGAAAATACCATAATTCCGTCAAAAATCAATGAAGCGGAACGAAATGCAAACTTGATCTATAACTCATCATGGTTAAGTCAAATACCAAAACTCAACTCAATATCTGCAAGCGTTCAGAAAAAAAATTGTGGAAAACCGTGAAAAATTGAAAAGGTCGTAATTCCGTCAAAAGTCATTGAAGCGGAACGAAAATCAAACTGGATCTGTAACTCATCAAGATACACTCACACACAAAAAATCAGCTCAATACCTGCAAGCGTTTAGGGAAAAAAAATGCGGAAAACCAAGTGGGACAGACTGACAGACAGACAGAGGGACAGACAGACAGACGGACGGACAGACTCAGAGGAAACCTATAGTCCCCTCCGGTTTCACCGGTAGGGGACTAAAAAAATGTAAAAGGGGTGGGGGTCCATTCCCCAAGTGCCTGTGGTCAGGTGACGAACCTGTTTTTATACGGACGTAAATGGTGAATTAAAAAAAATGACCAAATGAATATTTATTCAACCCACACTAAAAATACCGGCAATGAAAATAAATTTCTATGTCTCAGAATATGTCTTTAGATAGTGTCTAAATACCTGCCAAATATCTCGTTGATATCTCAATTAACAAAAAAAAATATGCCCAAAAATGATGCTTAAATTGTCAGGAGTGCAACACCTTTTTGTGACAGTTTGAAATTTCAATATTTTTTGGAGATATGTGAAATAAATAATAATGCTTTATGTTGAAAATAAAGACTCTCCTGATAATATTCAAAGTATTGAGCTTTAAATGTGGGCTGCAGTAACTTTTGTTTAATCAAGTTGCAGTCATGGCTGATGTTTAAAAAAATGTTATACCAAGTCAGGAGTTCAACAGAAAAAATGTAGTGTTGCCAAAAAAAAAACATCAATTGTAAAATTCTGAAAGAAAATTAAGACAAAAAAGAATTTACAAAGTGTAAAACAATAACTGATATACATTTAAAAACTTAAAAATGTTTTATAAATCACAAGGAGCATTAATGAGAGTCAAGTATATGTGCATACCCAATAATGTCAGGAGTGCAACATTTCATGTTTTGCTCCCAAGCATGAAAAAACTGTTATCATTATTTCATTTTCTGATCTTTATTTTGGAAAATAAAGACACAAAGAACATTTTTACCAAATAGATTTATCAATTACAGGATCTGTCTGTGCTTCAGATATATATTTCTATGGTCAGGAGTGCAACACATTTTTTTTAAACATTCAAGTTGTGTGACGAAAACACTTCTATTCATGCTTAGAAGTATTATTTAATTAATAATGATCTTTTTGTATAATTTAATACTAAATTATTGACAGTTTTATTATCAAAATCCTTCTTTTTTTCAATTTTATCGATTCGGATGTGTTTTATTTTTTATTTATTTTTTTGTGATTTTTTTAATGAACGTTAAAAATAAACACACTAAAAAAATTGTCAAAAAATTCAAGTTACTGTAATTCCTCCTCAACTTCACTGAAACAACAGAACAAGTTCTTATGTAATTTTCACTTCACAATTCTACTTTAAAGGCCCCATTACTTTTGGTCAGGAGTGGAACAAATATGTTAGAATCATAAATCATCCAATAAGAATAAAAATAAAGAAAAAATGATGAGTAGAATTTTTCTGGTTGGTTACTGTGTTTGTCCTCTAAAGGAAAATATGCTATAAAATATATTTTATCTTCTAAATATACATTTAAGCTAGTTATTTTGGCATAAATAGGGGATAATTCCTGATAAAATGCGAATTTTAAATACTTTCATCTGTTTTAATTATGAAGTATTGGACTATAAATATTGCACAATTTCATTACCATTTGATGTTGCCAACACTTTATGAATTTTTGTGTTCTATGGTTTTAATTTTAAATTTTACTGCAGTCAGGAGTGCAACAAAACTGCTTTATAATTACCCATGCTTTTTAACTATCTTTACTCAAAAATAAGTTGAAAAAAAATGTTTGATACTATTTGATGTTCAAAACACTATGTCTATCAACAAATTACAGAAATTTTACAGTCAATTCGGGGAATAGTTTTCATCATTTCACATATATTTTAAAATACAATTTATATACCTTACACCTTGCAAATAATCATGTTTTAAGGTCTTAAAAATATGAAAAACCTGCCGTAAACGATGAAAAATATCAACACGACAAATTGATTTACAGAGTAAGAATGGGTTATTGTGTGTTACATATTTTAAATCAATTTTAAATTAAAAACATGAAATATATGGAGATAACGAACAGTATTCAAGCTCAAAAGTCTATTAATCAATACAAAATAGGAGCAGAGCAAACACGGACCTCCAAACATCAGAGGTGGGATCAGGTGCCATGGAGGAGTGAGCATCCCCTGCCGACCGGTCACACCCGCCGTGTGCTCCTTGTCATGATCGGGAAATAACGGAAAAATCCGTCGACAATTCAGTGTGTACATAATGGCCTAACAATTAGTGTGAAAAACGTCAGTCAGCATTTGACTCAATGATAAATTGTATTTGCTGACAAGGTCATTGTATCGACCATAGAACTTACGAAATGATGACTTTAAACGAGACAGCTGATATTCTTGTTTCATCAACTTATTTGTCAATAATTTACCTCGTTTTAGAAATTGTACATACGTAGAGCATGTTCTTGCGTATCGAATCAACTGAGAGATATATACCCCGTATGCAGGTGATGAAGGTATATTGCTGCATAAGTAAGGGAAGTTGACGATTGAAAAGTTATAGTCATCACGTTTATCATAAACCTTGGTTGTTAGTTTACCATTAACGTCTTTTTCAAGTAAAATATCCAAATATGAAACAGATGTGTTTTCTCCTTTTCACGTACAAGATTTTGGACAAATTCTGCTTCATATGAATACAAAAAAAGGTCTGCTAATAACGGGGCGCAATTGGTACCCATGGGAATTCCAATAGATTGTTGGAAGACCTGGTCTCTAAAAACCACATAGATATTGTCAATCAGAAACTCAAGCATCTTTTTAATGTCAACTTCAGAGTACTTGTGTGAACAATCAGAATGTTTTTTAACAAAATAATTTTGCAAATGACCAATGACAAGGTAAGTATATTTACGAGTTCCATTTTTATTGAAAAAGCAGCTGTCAATGATATCAAAAAGCCTGGACTTTAATTTATCGTGGGGAATAGTTGTGTACAAAGTTGAAAAGTCGTTTGTTTTTAACCTGTTGATTTTGGTAAAATCTTGTGATTTCAAATTTTCCAAAAGTTCCTTGGAATTTTTAAGTATCCACATCTGATTTACATCACTTCTCGAATATATTGTTGCACAGTACTCTTGAAGTTTCTCCTTCACCACTGTTAATATCTTAGTGAGGAGTAAAGATAGAGGTTTGGTTGAACATTTACTGGAACCCGCTATGTATCTTTGTTTGTAAGGATTTTTATGAAGTTTCGGAATCCAATATAAATATGGTAATTCAAATTCATTTTGGTTGTTTGGAATATTAAAAATATTCAAAACTGACATATGATTTTGAAGAATTTCTTCCTTAGAAAGGGAACTATGAGTATAAGTTGGATTACCACTTGTAGAATTAAATCCAAGTTCCTCTAAAATACATTTAATATAATGAGCCTTACAAACAAAGACAATGTTGTTACCTGCTTTGTCAGCAGGGACCAGTACGTACTGATCAGGTAATCTATCTAATTCTTTTTTCACTTCTGGATTATTGAATACAGTAGATACATATCAGATGTCAGGAGTGCAACACCATGATGTAAAATAGGGTCACTTCAAAATGTAGTATTTTTTGTAAGAGAACTCGTATATAAAAATTTCTTTTTGACTTAGATTTAAAGAATTGACTTGAACGGACAAAAAACTGAATTTTGGGGAATTTTATTGCTTCATATTTTTTTAATATTAAAACTTTTCAAACCAGAATTGAAAAAATAATGTGAAATAACATTCAAAAAGCCAATTTTTTGTCACATATACAAGAGAAGATACTCAATCAAGGTCTTAATTTAATCATTTATATCCTTTTACCATTTTGAAGCATAAATAAGTGTAATATCTTGTGATTATGTAGTTTAGAAAGTCTTTTAAGGTGTAATGATATTTTCTTTTTTCAAAAGAAATTTTACTAATAAAAATTCTGAAACTTTTTAATCTAAATGTCTATTCCATTGCCACTTCAGGATTTTAAACTAGAATGCATGTGCAATATGATGATATAAGTGAAAAATATGTTATAAGTAGTTGGATTTTTCCAAAAAATTTAAGTTTGGTGGTCATATTTTTGAACTTACCCATATGCGCCTTGCTCGAATAATTTTATATAAGGGAAAACATTTGCAAATGTAAATATTTGCATTTGACACACAAGTGTGTCTGTTATTTTCACATTGTGGGTTCATTTTGTCATATGAAAATAAAACATTTATTCAAATAATCTTACATATGGAGAAATGGTGTTCATTCTGCTCATTTGCATATCCGCCATATTTGAGCTTTAATGGCAGCAGATTCCTAAAGTTCATTTAAGAAATCTCAAATTTCTATATGCTATTTCGGATATAATTCTTCCCCCAATGGTTAGATCTATCTTGATATTCTTTACCGGAAATGACAAGATTGTTGATACAAAAGTGAAAATTGCGATCGCCTTTTAGATTTGAAAATTCGAAGCAAGAGTATATAGTTTATTGAAGGAAAGAGCACAGAATTGGTGTCTTTATCATTGTTGATGATGAAATGTAATTGTTAGTCCCCTACCGTTGAAACCGGAGGGGACTATAGGTTTCCTCTGAGTCTGTCCGTCCGTCCAGCTGTCCGTCTGTCCCTCTGTCCGTCTGTCCCACTTGCTTTTCCGCATTTTTTTCCCTAAACCCTTGCAGATATTGAGCTGATTTTTGGTATGTTAGTGTATCTTGATGAGTTACAGATCAAGTTTGCATTTCGTTTCGCTTCATTGATTTTTGACGGAATTACGACCTTTTCAATTTTTAAGGGTTTTCCGCAATTTTCTAGTAAACGCTTTCAGATATTGAGCTGATTTTTGATATGAGAATTTACCTTGATTAGTTATAGATCAAGTTTGCATTTCGTCCCGCTTCATTGATTTTTGACGGAATTATGGCATTTTCAATTCTTAACGGGAACCAGATTACACTTGCCGGTAGTGGACTAGTATTGCTAATGCAATACTCTCAGAATGCTTGTTTATTACAAGTTAACAGAGTTCTTCCGCGGATTAATAGGTGAAAGAGAAAACCTTTTTTACGAGTTGATGGTATCAACTCATGTTATGTGACTTGTAAGGGATTCCCCAATGTATCGAAACTAATCACATTTTCATTTGAGTATTTTGCGTACGGGTTCTTGTATAATATTGGTTTATTTACAGTTTTCATAATCTACAGGACAAAAATATGTTTCCTGATATGCTTTGAAGTGTTTATAAACATAATTATTTATTATTAATTTTATTGGAATTTGTGTCTATCCGCGAGAGAAAATAGTGTTCGGGACATAAGGTTAACAAAAATGGCATGTCGTGCAAACAAAGTCTTGATTTATAAATCAATAAATGTTTTATACAATAAGAAGTATTTTTAAAACAGATTTTTTAAAGAAAATTCACAAAATTGAACATTGTATAAACCAGGTTATTTTTACAAGATTGACGTGCTAGGGGTATATATATAAACTAATTCTTGCGCTGTTATGCTAATGAACAGAGCAGTTTTCCCGCGCTAGTGATGAATCGTTCAATACAGAGAACACTGCCTATGTTTGTAAACAAAGCGAGAAGTTTGCAGTAAAGAAGGTCGAAGTTAATCAACTACTAATCTCAAACGGAAATTGTTTAAAAGGGTTATTGATAAAACTCACCGTAACATTTGTACGAAATAGAATCGTTATTAATATTTTTAGTTCTCTCTTCACAAGTCCCTTGACAATTGCATTTGTCCCGTAAATTTCCTCTATTTTGCAGAATTATGTATTTAGAATGACACATTAGGGTGATATTGTCCATTTCATTCGAAAAAGCAATATTCGTTTCTGGTAGATCTGAAAAAATGTTTTTAAAAATAATGATAAAGTGATATGACTTAAGATGACTTAAGATAAAATAGTTGTGATTTAGATAAATTAGTTTAAATACTCAAAAAGTGATTTTTTTTTTCATAAAAACATTTTTTAATATGTTCTCTAGTTTAAAAGAAATGTGTGTTTAGAGCTCTTTTAAATCGCTACAATGAATGATAAAAGAAATAGTCTTCGAAAAATCGACGCAGATGAAGGGTGTATAGAAAACTTACCGAAAGGAAATCCGTCAACTATTTTCTCAGAGCAATTACAGCTCTGCTCATCCCCATTTTCTATGCAACCTAAATTGAACGTACAAATCAGTATTTCCATATCAATTCCTCTCTTAACCGGAATATCTGTTCGTGCAGTTGACAAAGTATAGCGTTCTATTTTTAAAAAGATAAACTTTTTAAAGAACACTGTGTAAATGAAAAAGGCGAAAATAACGAACAGTAATTAATCTCAAAACACCAACAAACAATGAGAGAGAGAGAGAGCGGAAAAACGCTCATTACTTTCAGGTATATTTATTTCCGGCTATCAATCTTTTTTACCACAACATTCGATTTTATGCATTTTAAAAAGATATATTGTAGATAATTTTAACCATATCTTCCTGTATATTATCAATATTTATAAATATTTCAGAGAGTGGGTTTTTTTAAAGTTTTTTTTCACTTTCACATATAAGGACATAAGAAAATGGTCAAACACAACGTGAAGAGAGAAAGAGAGAGAGACCCCAAATTTCCACTTCACATATATCTAGGATATTGTTGAAGTATCCTGTGCGATGGCCATTTTTATCAACATTCGAATCATTTGGGTTGGATTTGTTCTGAAAGATATACATCTGCCTTCCTTCGAATCCCCCTGGAAATAGCATTACGGTTTGAGTACTTGGATGGAACCTTTTGCCATGATACACAGCAGGAAGTGAAGACAGTTTCTCGACGTCAACGGGGTTGTTGTTGATGAATATGTAGTAACCATAATGGCGTTTAACTATGAAATATATAAATGAATCATTTAATGTCTACATAGCATAAAAAGATCTTCAATTAATATCACATATAAGCTCATATAGCTCACTCCTCCATGGCACCTGATCCCACCTCTGATGTTTGGAGGTCCGTGTTTGCTCTGCTCCTATTTTGTATTGATTAATGGACTTTTGAGCTTGAATACTGTTCGTTATCTCCATATATTTCATCAACATCCCTTTGTATATTTTTTTGATGTACACTTTCGTGTCAAATTATTTTTCATCAATGAAATTTCAAACAAATTATGCAATAGACTTTAAACTTTAAAGTAATGCAATCTTACCACAGATACTACATTAATCAGCAAAGTAACTTCAATTATTTTAAATAATGGGTTCATGATTTCTTTTATTGCAAAATCTATTTCGATTCTTCCACAGTCTCTTGGGGCTGGAACCCCCAACCCCCTTTTTCCATTTTTTGTTCTATTTTTAAATCCGAGGTTGATATACCATTTCCCTTTTTTGTACTCTAATATGTGCTTCCTGATATCTATAATGTAACCCTTTTGTGTCAATAAACTGTTTTTAAATATATCGTTTATGTGTCAGTCGCAAACGATATATTTAAAAACAGCTTAATTATTGAGACAAAAGGGTTACATTATCGATATCAGTTAATGCATTTTAGAGTACAAAAATAGGAAAAAGGTGTGTCGACCCCAGATTTCAAAAAGAAAAAATGGAAAGGGGTCCAGTCCCCAAGTGCCTGTGAATTTTTCTCGAAAAGTGATGTGTGTTGCCATACCTCACAATCGCTCTTTTCTTACTTTTAAACTGAGATGGTTGATAGAAATCGAGCTTAAACCAGTGTTCTGTTGTTAAAAATCATTATTGAATCAGATTACAAATAGGATAGAATGCTATGTCCATCAGTTTAACCGAGCAGAAGAAAAACACAGACTCATGTTTTCAATATATCTTGAAAATGCAATTTAACAGCAATTGCATATGTATATGAAGAACATATAATATACGGTAGTCAATCTATTAGACAACATATACGAGGGTTGTTAAAAAAGTTCGCGGACACATTGATTTACGGAAAATCTATTGTGTACTGTGAAGTATGACTTATGTCTGATTAAATTCCTATCTTTTGTTTAATAGTATGTAAAAAATCAGGTCCATTTACTAAAATGTTTAAAATTTACAACAATTTTTACTATGCGGTCATAGGATTCACGAAGCAATCACTTGACGTTAAGTGACGTGACAAATTTCAAACCCATTAAGCTTTTTCATAGTTCTAAATATCTTTCATTTCTTTCGACTTTTCTCGTCTTTTTTCTACTTAAAAATTAAATATCTATATCAAGACATGTTACTTTTCTTCTATAAAGTCTTTTGTGCTGTTTCGGATATTAGTGAGATCTTAAAATAAATGTCCACGCAGTTAAGAGATCAGATATGGAAACAATGCAAAATCCATAGGCGGCAACGTCCATGCGATAAGTGGGGTATTGAGGTATCGATGGAGTTGATCATTAAAAATGTTAATCCTTCCATTCTTAAAAAGCTACTACCATTTGAATACTTTTGTCCTTTGTACATGTAGGCAATTTTCAGCAACATCTAGAAGCATTTTAGTCTATTTTTAGACATTTTCCTGTCTGCAAACATAATTTTTTAGTAGCTCGGTGCTCCATGACGTTCAACGACGTTCCCATTCTTGGCTTTGTTTTTACTCGTTGATTATTTGTAAATGGCTATAAAACAGTCATACAACCTCCAATTTAATTCAAAATTTCGGCAAGTGACGTTTTATTAATACTGTAGCGACAGGTAAAATAATATAATTCTTTCTGCGCTACAACTGTGCAATTTTTAATTTCAATAAAAAGTCTATGTAATGTATACGTGCGAAAAAGTAGCATGCTCCGTGAAGCATGTTTTATCAAAATAATATAGCTGTATATTTTTTAAGGATCACCGGAAAACAACAAATCTTTGTATATTTATTGGAAAATAGGTAAAGTTTTTATCTGGAGACTTTAACCGGTTTCATGGAAATAGCGCGCTCACAATAGAACTTGTCCGCGAACTTTTCTAACAACCCTCGTACATGTACATGTCATAAAAACAGACGTTTATGCATAACATTATTAATTCTCACAAGGAAATGCATTAGAAAAAATACCTATACGGTCAGCACGATCTTGAGCTTTTGAGACATTGAAATTGGCTGAAAGGACAAATATTACTGATCGAACTTGGATATTTATACCCAATTCTACCGCGCAAATGGATTAAGATGATACAAATTATTATTAAACAACAAGAGAGTATTTAATACTCGCCTAAAAGCAATATTAGAATTTCATTGACTTGATTCAAAGTGTAAAGAAATAATAGACAAGATTTAACAAGTTTATTCGATACTCGACTACGGAGTTTTTAGATACTGAATATAGCTAAGATGAATATGTTTAATTAGTTTGTTTATCAAAAAATGGAGGTGCACCAAATGTGGAACAATGTTTGACATCTGGTATTCATAGAATTACATAAGTTAACAAACAGCCAATGAACTACAAATATCACAAGACTTTACATTTTACTATGATCCCGATGAAGAATAAGTGTATGCCAACACAAGAGACCCAAGGCCTTGACAGTCACCTGAGTATAATACAACAATTAAGAGGATCCACAGAGTATAAAAGAAACTGATATATGAAGCTTTCTTGACCAAGAGCAAAAGAAATAGGATGATCAGGAAAAACGAAATAATTAGTCTAGTCACCCCTACTAATATTATTGTGATTTAAATTCAAGACACATGGTGTAGGTTGACCCATTCAAAGGTTAGATTAGAACCAGTTTTATGAATAAAATTGGCAGTAAACAAGAAATTGCTATAGTCTGTTTCTTTTAACAAGAGGCCCAAGGGCCTTAACGGTCTCCTGAGTACAACAATATAGAGGATCCATAAACTGATAAATGAAGCTTTGTTGCAAAAAAAGCAAGAAAAATAGTACGATTAAGATCAACAAAATAATTGTTCTAGTATCACTATCTGTCCCCCATTTATCACTATTACCATGCAGACTTTTAACAAAATGTCTTTCACTTTCACATTGACCTCACTTGGCCTTCGAAGAACATATAAAACATTTAAAAAGATAAGTTATTTTTGTTTCATTTTTATTCATGTATTATTTCCAAGTCTACCTGATCATTTAGACTAAGAAAGTACTTTTTGTATTATACAATAAATGTTCTTGCATAATTCTCTTATTCTATTAACCTTTCAAATATATTATCTACAGTGATTAATTATCAAAGGTGAATGGTAAAGGGGAATAACTTCAGTCAGTAGAATACAAATTAATAGAGCTCTGGCCAGGACCAAAACACATGACTAAATGGTCCAGATGTTCAAAATTCTAGTAAAAATACCCCTGCTTATTAAAACTTTTTACTCTGTTTGCCTCCAATATATGCCGAGGAGCAGAGAAGATCTTCAAAGAAATAATGCATTTTCACTATTTAACACAGCCCTACCCACACACCAGAACCATGACCCAGGGTCATGAAATTTACAAATTTGGAAGAGGTACCCTCATCATCATAATCATGCAATTACATGTAGTTGAAGATTTTCAAAGAATTCACCCATTTTCACTATATTATCAGTAGATAACACCAGAACCCCTGACTCTGGGGCCATGAAATTCACAATTCTGGAAGAGGCAGCCATGCTCATCATAACTATGTACTTAGTTAGTTTATTTAATACCCAGGAGCAGAGAGGAAGATTTTCAAAGATTTAATGCATTTTCGCTATATAATCAATAGAGCCCTGTCCTAACACCAGAACCCCTGACCCTGGGGCCATGAAATTCACAATTTTGGAAGAGGCAGCCATGCTCATCATAACTATTTACTTAGTTAGTTTATTTAATACCCAGGAGCAGAGAAGATTTTCAAAGATTTAATGCATTTTCACTATATAATCAATAGGGCCCCGCCCTAACACCAGAACCCCTGACGTTGGGGCCAATAAATTCACAATTTTGGAAGAAGCAGCCCTGCTTATCATAACTTTGTACTTAGTTTATTTAATACCCAGGAGCAGAGAAGATTTTCAAAGAATTAATGCATTTTCACTATATGATCAATAGAGCCCCGCCCTAGCACCAGAACTTCTGACCCAGGGGCAAGGAATTTCACAATTTTGGTAGAGGGCTCAATGCTTATTACATTCATGCCAACAGTTTGTCTGCTTGATGTCCAGAAGTAAAGAAGATTTTTAAAGATTGCATTATTTTGGCGGTTTTAGCCCCATCCCTGAGACTCCAGGGGGGCAGGGACCATGAAATTCACATTTTTTGTCCCCCTTCACCCATAGATGCTATATGCCAAAATTGGGTGAAATTGGTTTAGCGGTTTTAGAGAAGAAGCTGAAAATGTTTAAATGTTAACGCACGACGGACGACGCACGACGACGGACAAAAACGGATAGCAATAGGTCACCTGAGTGACTCAGGTGACCTGAAAACATGTCCTAGAAAAATGTGTTTCCAGACCTTTCTAAAAGATTTTCATGATTTTAAACAGAAAAGGGGGGTATCTACTTAATCTTCGCTTTTCAGATATTTTACGGCGAGAACTGGAGCTCAGTAGTGACAATTTTACCAGAATCGCTGGAAGAAATCTTTAACAAAGACAAACCTTAAATTTCCTTATATGGCTATTGTTATTAATAGGCAGAGGATCATTGACCAATCATTGAATATCAACGTTTACTGGACAACTACATGTTTACATTTTACTTTGAACACGTGGTTCAGGTCAGTCTGATATTAAATGGACTGCAAAAAAACAAATTTAAAAAATGTTTTATGAAAAAATACAAAGATTAGAAACTATAAAGGATATCAAGGGTGTTTGTAATGTGTTGTTACGTTGTTAACTAGAAAATGTACATTAAAAAATGTAGTCTGTGCCACGTTCAGAACACCAGCGCTTCAAGGTTAAGGAAAACGGGCAGCATCTCTTAGGCATTTAAATGTACAACAGATTTTTTTCACATTACAATACCCGTGATCACATGTGTCTTTGGCCAGGGAATCCACCGGGCAATTGTATTCACCGATAATACAACAAAGGTATAAGGACTAAAATCGCCTTACAGTATGGCTTTGAGAAACCTAGAAATCCACGTTTATTTAACAAATAAATTGTTTTAATTGTGAACAAGGAAAATAATGGACTAAAAATGGACGGATTGTTTTCATCTACAAAATGCATGGGAAAAAATGCTCTTTGTACCTTTTCGATCTTCTGTAGATTTTTTTCAAACTTAACATTCCTGTAGTATCCGTAGTAACCCACAATGCAATTCAACTCATTTGTCAGTTTTGAATTGTCAATTTAAGCCATGCTGGTACCTCATTTGCTAATCTGACACCAAAAAAAATATAGTCCCAGTTCCCATGCAAGTATGTTTTTCCAAAAAGAAAAACCGTTGAAAATAATGTCAGATAGAATACTTTTTGAAGGTTCAATGAATTCTAGAGAGACTGATGTACATTTCTACGGATACATGTATTATACAGTCACTGTGGTGAAACCTGAAACGCAACATAACTTCTCTGTTTGCCATGTCTCCACGTGTTACCCACTTCCTAGCCACATTTCCGTGAATAATTTACCTTATCTCGCTGTAGTCTCGCTAAATCTCGTCAGAGCTACTGCCAGAGCTACTGTGAACTCCTCTGTTTTTTTTTTATAATTTGCAGAACACCGAAAAATAAAAGGTTCAGAACACAGTAGAGGTGATAAGGTTCAGTAACAACTCACAAAGTTCTAATCTGTCCATCATTTATCAGTATCACCATGCAGACAAATTAACAAATAATTAGTGCTTCTGTACTATTTTAACCCCCTACTATAACCTCTCACATTGGCCTCTCTTGGTCTTTGAAGAATATTTATTAAGATAAGTTATTTTTGTCTCATTTTTATTTATCTATTATTTACAAGTCTATCTGATTATTAAGACTATGAAAGTACTTTCTGCATTATACAATAAAAAATCTTGCATAATTCTCTTATTCTATTTACCTTTCAAAAAACATTATTTACAGTGATTTATTATATAAAGTGAATGGCAAAGGGGAATACTATAAATCAACTATTATTTGAGTCATCTTTTATTCGCGATTCGCCAGTTTGAAATCAATCCGCGCCTATTAATCTTCGCGACTGAGGAAACATCCTATACAAATACAAAGCTAAATAAATTGTTCGCGGCGATTAATATTCGCGAGTTAAAGTAGGTCGCATGACCCAGGGTCATGAAATTCACAAATTTCCAAGAGGTACCCTCATCATCATAGTTACTATGCATTTAGTTGAAGATTTTCAAAGAATTAACACATTTTCGCTTTATTATCAATAGAGCCCCCACTCCTCCGCCCCGAGAAAAACCAGAACCACTGGGAGCACAAGTTTTAAAATTTTGTAAGAAGCACCCTGTTAATCATAAATATGCAATTTGTTTATCTGCTCATCACTAAGTAGCAGACAGGATTATTTGATAGAATTAATGCATTTTCACTAAATTATCAATAGAGCCTCACCCTTACACCACATCTGACCCAGAGGCCATGAAACTCACAATTCAGGAAGGAGCTCTCTTGTTCATCATAACTATACACTTAGTTTCTTTGCTTTGTAACTAGGAACAGAAAAGAATATTTATTTTCAAAGAAATTATGCTTTTTCCTATATAATCAATAGAGCTCCAACCAACCCCCTTTCACCAGAAACCCCAACCCTGGCTCCATGAATTTCACAATTTTGGAGGAGGCATCCTTGCTTATGCGAACCATGCACTTAGTTTGTTTGAATAATTGTTCAAAGAATGAATTCATTTTCACTATATAATCAATAGAGCCCCGCCCTAGCAACAGAACCCCTGACCCAGGGGCCATGAAATTCACAAATTAGGAAGAGGCACCCTTGTTCATCACGACTATTTTGTTAGCTTGTTTAATACCCAGGTTAAGAGAAGAATATTTTCAAAGAAATAGTGCACTTTCAGTATATGATCTCTATACCCCCTCCCTAGCACCAGAACCACTGAGCCTGGGGCCAAGAGTCATGCCAACTGTTTGACTGCTTAATATCTAGGAGTAAAGAACAAGATTTTAATAGATTGCATTAATTTTGGTGGTTTTAGTCCATCCCCTCAGGACCCGGTTCAACTAGGGTATACGGAAAAGTAGATCCGTAAAACCGATTAACATCTTTCAAATTTAAAATAACGAAAGAAATAGTTCCCTTTATAAAACAAAAAAGTGTTTTGCCTTATTACGTCAAATAAATGCGTTTAAAAAATAGTCCACAAGAAGAGTATTTCTATAAATGGTTGACAATTTGACACTTAACCTGTATTGTTATCACAAAGGTCGACAGGTCGACAGTTGACACCTACTTGGTAAACTCTTATCCCTCAAAATAAAGGTCGACAGGTCGACATCAAATTGCTAAATCTTATCCATCACAACAAAGGTCGACAGGTCGACAGTTAACAGCTAATTGGGAAAGTATTTTCTCGAACCCATCGGAAAGATTAGGATTAGTCCTCGAGCCCACCAGAAAGATTAGGATTAGTCCTCGAACCGACCTGATAGATTAGGGTTAGTCCTCAAACCCATCGGAGAGATTAGGGTTAGTCCTCAAACCCTCCCGAGAGATTAGGGTTAGTGCAGGAACCCACTGGAGATAATAATCCGTCGACCTGTCTACCTGTCAACCCGTTGACTCGTTTACCTGTCGACTGGTCAATTTGTCGACCTGTCAATCCGTCGACTCGTCCACCTGTCGACCTGTCAACCTGTCGACTTGTCAACCCGTTGACTTGTCTTCCTGAATACATGTAGACCTGTCAAGCAAACAATCTGTCAACCTGTCGACCTGTCAACCTGTCGACCTGTCAACGAAACATTTTGTCAACCCGTCGACCTGTCAACCTATCCACCTGTTTACATGTCCACATTTTTACCAAAAAGTTCGTACGCTACATAGAATTTCTCCAAATTTCTTTATATTCTTTAGCAATGCACATTAATTCTTCAGTCCTTTGGCGTATGAAAATAATTACCGGTACTACTTATCCATATATCCTAGTTGAGTCCAGGACCCAGGGGGCGAGACAATGAAATTCTCGATTTTTGTTTCCCTTTACCCATAGATGCTATACGCTAAAATTGGTTGAAATTGGTTTAACGGTTCCAGAGGAGAAGTTGAAAATGTTTAAATGTTAAAGCACGACGCACAAGGCACGACGGACGACGTACGACGACGGACAAAAACGGATACCATTATGTCACCTGAGTGAATCAGATGACCTAGAAATTTAATAACGTTGTTTATCTCCACATAGAAATACTTTTTCTACTGGAGTATGGGAAATAAATATGTTTTTAATCAATAAACTTTTCTTCATTTTTAAGTTCTCTCCCCGATGGATCATAACATACTTCGTTGTAATGTTTTTGAGTTGATCCCGATATCAAAAAAGTTTATTATATATATTAAAATTTCGCGTTGCTTTTGACTGTAATGTAATCGTGCAAATGTTAAAATCGCCGTATATTTCCACAAAACTGCCAAATATTTTTTTCTTTTTACTAGAATGAAGAAAATACAAATCATTTCAATTAATTTACATTTCTTAATATTTGATCTCTCTCTTCAAATGTATTTTTTCACATTTTCCCTCGTAACGTTTAGCGTTGATCCTGATGCAGTTTTTTATAATGCAAAATGCCATAGCCATAGTTGTCACACCAAAATGATATGGAACTTCTGGAGTTCCCTTGCTTTGAATCATATATCTATGTCTTTGAGTTCGTGGACTAGGGCCGTGGAACCAAGCAAAACCTTTTATTGATGTCCGTCCAACTTCCAAACACCTTATCGCCTGTTTACCAGATTTTAGTTTGAGTGCGTATTTCATCATATTTTTATACATAAACATTGATTTTCACATCATTTTGAAAGATTTTTTGGATACATTAGTGATTGTTGTCTGTTCGATTAATTCTTAATTTTGCTTTTGTTAAAAACTTACAATATTTTTGAAAGATATCATTGAAAGTGAGGTTTCAAACAATATAATAAACAAACACAGGTTTTAAAAACAACAGACCGTCTCCCTGTTTTATAAAGAAATTAAAGTTCTGTAATAATTGAAATGTACTACTGCTTTTTGAGTCCGATCTGAATAATTCCGGTGTCAACAGATTAAACATTTACAAAATGTAATTAACTACAAGTGGACATGTACATTATCGTGAACTAGAGTGGTATACGTTTTCTCTCAAATCACTTTAGAAGATTTAATAAATTTCTCGATCTTCAATTCATTGATAAATTGATATGATTTATGCATCAGGTATTTTTAATTTTTTATGTTTAATTTTATAGAATTTTTTTTTTTTGGGGGGGGGGGGATATTGAACATCTATTAGTCTTCAGGGAATTAATTGTTTTGTTTTAGGTGCTTTGATACAACAAAATTACCACAAATCAACCAACAGTACTGTTTACAATTGCAGTTTATACCAGCAAATACCACACATCCTTATCTTACAATTTGAAATATTAAGTAAATCATTTTTTGAACGTTTATAAACTTCATGCAGAGGCAAATCAAACAAATATTCTTCAACAATCATTTTAAGCAATTAAAACTTACATTTTTCTCTGAATATGATGTTGATTTTGTAAATTCTTGCCAGGAAAGGCAGCGTAATACTCCACCATGCATTTTGACGTATCCCTGTAGTATTTGTTCCAACACAGTCGCCTCGCCTGTGGATTTTATACTCCCCATCTAATGCCCTACTCGCATCCAAAAGAGGGCCACCGGCGTACTCATAAACTGACGACATTCTAGCAGCTGTCCCATTCAGTCGTCCTAGATTACAGATGCCTAGAAACATGTTTGTTTTGGATACTTTACTTTGGATATGTAAATTTCCACTTACACCCCAAATATAAAAGAAGAAAGCTTCAGGCAGTGTTACTCTAGATATCATAATTCTGAAAAAGGATGATTTTTTTTTCACATAGCACAACCTCTTTACAATTAAAAGTTAGAAAGTAAATTTTAAGAGATTGAGAAGTAAAACTACATATAATTGAACATTAAGTAATTATGATTCTGCCATTGAACAAAGTGGAATTTCTCAAAATTAATATTCATTTCTTAAAAAACGTTTATTTTCAGAATGACAAGCTAAATATCTGATCATAAACTCTTTGCGATGGCGATAACACCGAAAAAATCTTTCTCTCACAGTCTTAGTGTCTTCCCACAAAGGAGATGGGCGAACATAGCGTGCAGAAAGCCTATAGATTCAAATATATAAAAATCATGTTCAATTTGTGAATTCAGTATTTAGAGTAAAGTTCTCATTATTGAAATGCATGAAATTATGATAAACAAAGCTTTTCTGAGGAAAATTTTCTCGGAAAATTTATTCTTTTATTTAAAAAATAATGTGATATTCGTGGGGGTTCGAACCCTAGCAATAAAAATCCTGAGTATCATTTTCTTTCGAGACTAGCACGCTAACCACTAGACTACGCAAGATCTGATAAATAGTGGCATTTAAATCATGTTTGTGATGTACCCTTGACTTACTGGACTTCAAGTATTTCTCGAAAAGATGCGAATGATATGTCATAAAAGTATATTTTTAAAGTATAGTGGGTCTTTCCTCCATATTTTAGGAAACCAAAAAATGTATATTTTTATGCAAACTTCGAGGATTAACTTTCAAAAAAATGGAGCGAAGACCCACTCATATCGAAAAATAGTGTTATAGTATGAGAAAATGACTCTTTTTGCCCTCTTTAGTGTGTGTACAATATTTCATAAGCAAATAATTTCAATCTTTGCGAGATTTTTGCAAATTGTAGAGATTTTACATAAAGTATATTTTAAAGAGGCTAGGGGTTGTGGCCATTTTTAGACTATATTGATCTCCTTTAGAAGAAGAGCTCCATATGAAGATATAGAAAATGATCAAATTTTAAAACTAAAATTTTTGAAATTTTTCTTTGCCAAATGATAGTTGACAGCTTAAGATATCATATCTAAAAAATTAAGTTAAATCTGGTGGTTAATTTGTGGTTAATTTGTTGACCCCCCCAGCCTCCTTAATGTTAGATTAAATATCAAGGAAAATTTTGATATAATTGAGATTTAATTTTTCACCTTCATGTTTGTCACACTATTGGCTTTTCGGTCGTCATGTTCACCCATCTTCTTTTTATTAAAACAGAAAATTTGGTGTTATGACTAAATAGTCATAACACCAAATTTTCTGTTTTAACAAAAATTTGTGGAAAGACATTAGCGTAGTTCTCTTACATAACCTGAATTTGCGATATTTAAATCCATTATATGTCTGTTGCATGTTTATTTTGTATGTTAACATAGGTAATGCCTTTTCAAAATTCTTTTTTTTTTTTTTACAATTTCAAAGTTCATATTTCTCGTTAGCCCCCAGTTTTAACTGTAAAAGAAAAAAAAATGTTATTCAAATATACATATACAGTTGCCATTCCTGATATATATGTTATGTATATTATGTAATGTTGTTTCCGAATACCAGCTTTTTATGTATTTACCTGCCATATTTACTTTTGCTCTAATGGCAATATAATTCAATTATTTTCTCGTATTTGACGATCATCTTTAATTTCTGATTAAGATAAGAATTGCCTAAATACAAATAATAATAATAACTGGACGAACTTGTTGCAAAACAACTAGTAGGTCTTACGTCAAATTTTCAAAGAGATGAGATTGAGATAGAGAGACATCATTATGAATCGACGAGATGTCTGACGTCTTCAGTAACTTTTGTCATTGAAATCTACGATGATATATGCACACACAAAAATAAGCGATTTAAGACTATACTTCCAATATGAAAATAAGTGACATCATTGGACGACTTTTAATGATCTCAATAGCTGCTACTTGTAATTTTGAACAACTTTGCTTAAATAATACAATACAAATTCTCAATAATTTTAGAAATATTGAGGAAAAAACTTTCAACCCGTGTAGATCCCTAATTTTAGGGGCCATCCCTTAAAAAAAAAAAAAAAAAAAAAAAAAAAAAAAAAGATTAAATATCTTGAAACTTTGACTACATTTTGTTCTACAGGTTTTAAAAATTATTTTAAGATTATTTTCAGGTAAAGAGATACTGTACAAACAGTGTTGAAAATTTCGAAATTTCCCATATTCCATCATTCAGAACATTGCAAGTACCGACGTGCGACATTTCTGGAAAACATGAAATGCCTAATGCACATCTACAAACATAGCTCTATCATGTCTGAAAGTTTCATGTTCTATCTGGATCCATTTATCAGAAAATTTGCGGACAAAACAGCCCTTGGAAATCATTAAATCTATGATATCTCCAGATCGGAAGTGACGTCATCAAAACGGAAAAACGCATAATGTTCAAGTGATCTTGCATTAGTCCTGAAAGTTTCGTAAAAATCCATCGAGTTGTTTTCGAGAAATCGCCTACACAAAATCGGTAAGAAAAAAAAAAACAATATATAATAACAAAGCTCGTTGCAAGACGGACGATGGACGTCGAAAGTAATGTATATATAATTCGAATCCTATTTAGAATCAAATTTAGGCAAATTTCTGAAAAATACACACACAAAAATCATTTTTCGACATTTTCCGGTTTTGATTCAGACTTTTCGGGCCGTTAGGTCGTCATTTGCGGTTGATGTCGAAAGTCACGAAGGCAGAAAAACCTGGAAACGCAATTTCAAATCATTTACTACTTCTAATGATTTTTGAGAAAAAGATTTATTTTTCGACTAGTTCCGGTTATTATTTACAATGGATTGTTCTTGTTGTCGATTATCCATACGAACATAAACTGTTTTTTTTCTTTTTAATCGATAAATTAAATACCACTTCCGGTGTCAACCTGAAGTATTGTATGCACAAACAAAAGGGTTATGCATAACTCAAAGCTTCTCAAATATCTTTAGTTGTTTTTCAGAAAATGCGTGGACAAAATGACAATTTGAAAAATGAAAATCGGACAAAAAATGTGACTGCAAGTGATTTTTTAAAAAATGAAAAGAAAAAATCTGTAGTTAATAAAATTGATGCATCATTCCTGAAAAAAAAATTGAAATCGGTCAACTACATATAATGTACATGTACTTGCCGAGAAATCGCGTGTACTATGAAAAGGGACTCATTCCTTGAGTTTCTCATTGACAATATCTATGTAGGTCTTCCACCAATCTGTTGGAATTTCCATGAATACTTATTGTTCCCCGTTATCAGCAGACCTGTAGTGCTTTGGCCTTCATTTCGACATACGGATATATCGACGATGTTTTATCAATTAACAATATTCGCTTTTATTCCTACGTGATTCGATATATCTCACTGACCTCGAAATAAAAGACTTAACAGAATCTGACACATATGTGTCATATTTTGATATTTTACCAGAGGAAGACAAAAATGTGATGACTTCAACTTAATATATGGTTTTATATATGAGATTAATATCTCATATAAGGTTATCAATCTCATTTCGAAAACCAGCTTCTTATGTATTTCCCTGTCAAATTTACTTTTGCTCAAATGAAATACTGTTTAAGCCAATTTACTATTCTTCAAGAATGGTACAATTATCTTTTTCATATTTGATAAACATCTTTTAATTTCCGATCAAGATAAGCTGAGTATAAATATTCTTTTTTTCCGCACAGGGATCGACAGTCTTCCTTAACGCGTCAAGGGTTCGTAATATATTCCTCTAGAATAAATGAACATAACATATCTGCTGATAAAAACAAAGAAGAATTACTTACAATATGCAAAGTCAGTCAAAACAATTACGACAACAATCCTAAAACAAAACAGCCTTGCCATGATGCAATTTATCTCCTACAGAAAGCTGCTTCAAGCTATAAAATTAAATACTCTAACAAAATGTTGATTAATTTTTAATTTTTTATAGGGAATACGCTGAATTTATATATTATTCATCAAACAGAGTAGAATTTGAGGAAAAAACAGATAGACATCTGTATCATCATAATGTAGCAACATGGGTTATTTTGATAAGTACGACACTGGTGTCTTTATCTGCAACTAATTGCATGTTGCCCTCTTATAGGTCAGTTACTGTGCAATAATATGCATTAGCAGACTGAAAAAGTGCTAACTTCATGTTTGCATAATTTAAGAGTTATAGACAACTAGACTTTTGAGTTTAGTTTGATGGTCACCTGGTACTCGAGGCCATATGTGCGATGACTTCCAAGCTTCTCTATGTAAACATAATAAAAACGATCGCCGAAAATTCAAAATTACGAGGTAACAGTATAATTTTATAGCTAAAAACTTATGTGTTACATAAATAAAACCATACAGTAAAATGAATTCCTGCTTATAATTTATAAACAACGATATCAATTCGTTAAAATAGTTGAAAATGTTTAGACAGGTTGAGAAGGGTAGCAACAATTGTGTCTATGAAATGAACGTGTTTTTACATTATAAATTATTATTATAAATTAATTTCCATTCCGGTGTGCTTATATATGTGCCCTGTCATTAATTGTTCCCGTCTGTAACATATATTACAATGAAAATTAAGGTGTTTGTACAACTTTGGCTGGTGTTTCGTGTTTACAGATTAAATTTTAATAAATCTAACAATTTCTCCTTAAGATTCTTTACAAATGGGAATGCGATCCATTTCTTCGTGAACTGGCATGGGTAAACAGGAATATATCCCTGACGTCAAAATTTAAGTGCACCATATTTAAAAAAAAAATGATAGTTCAATGACACAATTTGTGGATTGTCATCGTATAAATAATTTTAATTTAAGATATCAATTTAATTTCCCAAAATTCGTGAGGT